TCACACGTGCTCTCCACTCTGCCTGGCCACTAGGGGACGGGAGCCTCCATGTGTGCTGCACCAGCCTCGTTTCTTTAATTGACAGCCAGTGAGTCCCTTGAATCCCATCCTCTGGAACCTGCTTTGCTTCCGGGAGTGCTCCTCGCAGCCTCCTGGCTACAGATTTAAGTGGGAGAAAGGATGTGCCGCTGGGTCAGGGCTCCTTCTTATTAGTGATTATAGCGATGGTACTACTCTGCCTCGGATCTGCTGTGCACTTTGTATTTTTCTTGTGGTGTTTCATTTAAATTTCAAATCAGTCCTGTTGAGTTTTATAGATTTGAACCTACATCCTTTAGCTTTTTACTGCACTTGCGTACACTGAGCAAGGTCTCTGAGGGTGTCTAAAGAAGGCCGCAGTTGTACTGGGTATTTGCGTTGAGTTATCGCCCCTGCTGGTGTGGAAGGCACTTCTGCTTGAGCCAGGAGGGCTCCGTCACACAACCTGGAACTACTGCTAGTAATCTTAGCGATTGGGGGCGGGAGCACTGACTTCCACCAGCCAGGAGCCCTCAGGGCTGTTCAACCGGATCCAGAATGTGAGATGACCACAAGAAGCTAGGTCAACAGCCGTCAAGAAACGGAGCCAGGAGAGGGGCCCATGGGGCCCCAGACTTCCGTGTCTGGTCTGTAGCCGGCTGGGGTGTCCCTTGTGCGTGTCCCCTGAGCACCTTGCTGCAGTGACAACACAGTAGAGAGCCTAGTTACCCAGCTGGGACCACAGGGGACAGTGCAGTTCGCTTAAGTAAGGCCAGCTGCAGATGGCCTTGTGGGATGTGGGAGTTGGGTTTGGGACTGGACGTGTTTCACGTGAGCAGTGTTCAGGGAGGTGCCTGGACAGGTGGGCAGACCCCAGAGGACAAGCAGGGTCCCTCTGTAGCCCCCGCCCAGTTCATGTGCTCTGGGGCTTTAACAGTCAGATCTCCTTGCTCTGAACTTTGTATATAATGTGTATTACTTTAGTGTTTATAGAAAATGAAAAGATATTTAAAAAGTGTATGTAAACTGGCTTGGTTTTTACATATATTACAGTAATGCGCAACAGTGTATTTTTCTTATATGATTTTATGTTTCTTGTTATAAGTCTTTCCTTAAAAATGTTTTTCCCCCCTTTTTTTAAACCTAGGGACTCCTTTCCATTCGATCAGCAATTTAACATTTTGATGAGATTTATTGTGGATCAAACTCAAACTCCTAACCTCAAGGTTTGTAACTGTTTATCGTTACAATTTAACCTCTAGAAATCATGTATGCCTAAAATACACTCTTTTATACATGACAGTTTTGGCTATTGTGAGTAAATCTGCTGTGAGCGCTTTTATACAACTTTTTAACTAGAAAATTTTAATATGTTGAAATAGGTGTCTCGTTAGAATGTTTTTAATACTAACATTGTAACACATGAAAATTGTCACGTTTTGTACCATCACACCCATAATAACAAGACTCGTATTTGAAGGAGGATCTATTAACTTGAATTCCATCCTGTACATTGTCTGTTCTTTGGTCGTTAACTTCTGCGGGTTTTGGATAGGCCAGTAAATAACCACCCTTTCCTCCCGAGGTCAGAACCCTTGAGACGTCAGTGGAGAAGTTAGGGCGAAATACTAGCGTGATTACCATGAACACTGCCTTGCACAAACCTGGCCTAGGAGGGCTGGGACCGAAATTGGCCCAGAGCTGTGCTTCCTCCTGCCCTGTACGCGTCATGTGGCCCCTGTGAGGAGCAGGCCCGGCTGTGTGCACGGCGGGTCAGGCTGCACCCCAGCCTGTTCCCACACTTAACCTGTCATCTCCTGCTTTTTCCCTGCTCCATGCCCCCATGCAGAAACAAAGCAGGTGCCCCCTCCCCAGTCTTTTCTTACTCTCTATGAGTAAATTCTGCTCAGAGGTTGATAAAGTATGCCTAACGTTCGTAATCATTGGCTCTTTCAGGTCAAAGTTGCAATCCTGAAGTACATTGAGTCCCTCGCCAGGCAGATGGACCCAACAGATTTTGTGAACTCCAGTGAGACAAGGCTCGCTGTTTCTAGAATTATAACCTGGACGACAGAACCAAAGAGCTCGGACGTGAGAAAGGTATGTCCAGAGAGCTAGAGTCCAGCTCCAGCTGCGGACCGTTCTGAGGTGTGTGTCGGGAGCTGGCAAACCGCCCACACAGCGACACAGACTCTGCCCCCTGTCCTGCGACACGGGCTGTGCTCTCCGCTCCACTGGTTCCCTTCTTTGAGGTTCAGAATGAGGATCTGAACTCTTGTGGGGTCGGGGTACCGGGGTGCTGTTTTGTTGCTTGTTTTAATCAGCAGGAGAGAAACATTTGCTAGTTTCTCCTGAAACTGGCACACTGAGAGGCGTGGGCTGTGGTTAAGGGGGCACAGGTCCTGTATCTCTGTTAGGGGCCTCCTGCTTTAGGACCGTCACAGGACGGGCTCGTGCATGTTGGCAGCGTGAGGCACTCCCGACACGCTGCCAGCACACAGGAGGTGTGAGTTACGACTCTGCTTCTCTTGCTCTCTCCTGTCCGTGCCATGTTCTTCTACACTTGAGTTCCACACATGGCTGTCATTCTTTACTTTATATATAAACTAACAGGCCTTTAAAAGTTACTTTTAAAAACCAGATGTCAGGTCTGCTTTCAGACTAAAGAGTGCTTGATTTTGAATATTTATGTAGAGTCATGAACGTTGCATTTTTCTTTCTTCTGCACTATACGCCTTCCATAGCCATCCCTGCCAAAATAGGCCTCGGGGCAGAGTTGGTAACCTGGGCCACATGGGTCCAGGCAGGGCAAGGGTGTTAGCGAGCTGGTGTAGTTGCAGACGCAGCCTTTCTCTGGTGGCGTCTGAGGCGGGGGACCAGCTCTCTGAATGACGTCTTTGGGGTGGTCCCTGCCCTTCTGACTCACATCCGTCATGTCATATGGACTAAGTTGTCCAAGGCCAAAGGAACAAGGGCAATTTATTAAAGCACCCGTCCACAGTTATTGTCCTAATATTATCTCATATCTTTGACTTGTGACCGTTTTTAAAACCTTTTAATATTTATCAAAGGGGCATTTCACTGGTAACTGTAATTTCGCCACTAATCCTGTTTTGAACTGGGGGCTGTGGGGTTATAGGGGTGGAATGAGTTGCTTGGTTTAAAAGTCAGATGCAGATATTTCTGTGGAAAAATTTTCAGAAGGACAGAATAAGGATAGAGCCTCAAATGCAGCTTCCTGCCTTAGTCATGGCACGTACGTGTGCGTGTGTTTTGTGTTGAGGGTTACTTAGATACCCCCCCGCCCTCGTGGGGCTGAGATGCACTTCAGGCGTGCATGTCGTCATGGTCAGGGCCTGTGTGAGACCTCTCACTTCCATCACTGTGTCTGCTCTCTCTGGACATGCCCTCTCTCTCCATTTACAAATTGGAACTATGACTTATTGTCCCAACTGTTCTAATCAGGACACTAAAGGAACTTCTCCCTTGACGTACCTAGTCTGGCACACCAGAACACTCAACTTTCTTTAGTACCAGCTCCAGTCAAATATGGTTTGGACATGGAAGTTATTACCAGAAATCCTGTGACTTTAACTCGTCTACTGTTTGGTCTTCAGAGCTGAATTTCAGCTGTTTGGGTCACACAGCCTGGCCTGCCCTCCCTTCTCCCTCCCCAGGGTGAGGACCGCTGACACCTCACCTGCAGGCACGGCTCCAGCCTGCGCCCTGCGACGTAACCCTGGGCTTCCAAGGAGCCTGGAGACCTTCACGTCAGTAGCTGTCAGTTCCGGCTGCAGTCAGTCAGCCGAGATTCTGTGCTCTGCCCTAAGCAGTTCGACTGACTTGGTGTAGAAGGGAGCAGGGTCATTGTTTTGTGTGTGACTGGGGTTCCCTCCACACTTGGCTGATTTCCAGTGCCCGGGGCTGAGGCCCCTGATTCACACCATGGCCCTGGGGCTGAGCCTCAAGACACATAGACTGCAGGTGTCGTCCTGGTGTCTTCAGGATGAGGCCTGGCCTTGCTGCGCCCTTCCCCGCTCTCCAGCTGTCGCTTTCCTGCCCTGCTCAGCACCTCGCATACCATCCGTAGGAACAAAGTCGGCATTTAAGAACTGTTTTGAATGAGTTAATGAATGATAAATTCCCAAGGAGAAATGATTTAATTTCAAGTTAACATTTTGAAGCCATCATTTTCAAAACCATGTCCTATATTTGGCCTCTGTACTAGTTTTCTGTCACCTAAAAAATTGCCATAAACTTATTAGTAGCTTGAAACTACACACATTTATTGTCCTACGACGTTGTGGATTGGGAGTCCAGCACGTGTCCTTTGGGCTCTGTGCTCAGTCTCCTGTCTTGTCTTCCAGCCCCTGGTCCCTGGCCTGTCCACCCTTCTGGAGGTGGGCCTTGGTGCTTGCTGTAGGGCCGACTGTCAGCAGGGGGCGTCCTCGGCTCACGGAGGCCCCGGCAAGCCCTCCGTGGCCTCCTCAGCCCGGCACTTTACTGCTTCAGAGCCAGCAGGAGAACGTTTGAAGAAGTCATGTCCTGAAACTGACCCAGTTTGATGAAAAGCGTTCATCTATACATCTGAGTAGCTTAGCAGACTCCAAGTAGGGTTAAAAAAGTCATTATCAGACGGTGGGAGGCCGCAGGTGGAGAGATCCTCAAAGCAGCTGCTTCCCCGTCAGACGTACGAGGGACAGAGGCAGTGCAGTGATGCCAGCAGGAGACCTTGGTTTACTCTCTCTCTAAGGGCTCACCTGATTAGGTCAGACCCACCCAGGAGTAACAAGAAGTCAGCTGATTTGGAGGCACTTTTATGACCTTCTGCCTCGCAGCAGAAGAGTGGGGATGACATTCTTCACGTTCACAAGCCCGCCTCACTCAAGGTGAGAGGATTACACCAGGCTCAGACACCAGGAGGAAGGAATTCTGGGGTCTCTTTTTCCGTGGGTTGGCATGAGTCTTCCACGGTTAGTTATTTGGTAATTCTGTAGCTCTTCCTTAAATAGGGAGCTCTTTTCCCTGCCTGCGCAAAGGTGATGAGGTTCAGCTTAGCAGATGCATCTCTGTATTGAGTGCATGTGAGTTTTCCTGCCATCCGAGACACCTTCAGCCGTGCACATCCAGCACAGTGAGCGCTAGTACACCCTTGTTAACTGGCTTCAAATGGGGTGTTAGAGTGTAATGTTCAAGCACGTGTTCTTTTGCCCCATAACCACCTCCCACAGCTGTGCATTTGGGCACCACAGATTAAACCTCCCCAGGAGGAGAGTCACTTCCATTTCTGTGCTCCATTTTGATGTTCCGTCCACCGGATATTTATACAAATATGGATGCTGCTGGCATGCCGCCACTGCCTTACCCAGGAGTGTGAGATGTGTTGGAGGATGGTCTCAAGGAATGTATTAAGTACATGAAAACATTTAGAAATTGAGAGTGAAATTCTTCTCTAAGGTTCAGAATTGTTGTTACCGTTTATTTTAAAGCTGTAAAATAAAGCAGGTACCATTTTTACCTGGATAATTTAATGCAGTAAAGATATGCTTAGTTATCTATTTTAAGTAAATTTACATTTTGCCTCATCTATCACTTGCAGAGTTATTAAAACATTGTATGACATGCTAGGGAAATCTTGGTGACCTGAAAGCACTTTGTGATCATGAACCAAGTCCTCCTGTTGGTGTCCTTATTTAATTTCTTAAGAGTAGGACAAAGTTACAGATCAATATCAGAAAAAAAAGAAATACAACCCCAGTCACCTCACACCCATCAGAATGGCCATCATTAACTAGTCCACAGACATACATTCTGGAGAGGATGTGGAGAAAGGGGAACCCTCCTACACTGTTGGTGGAAATGTAAATTGGTACAGCCACTCTGGAGAACAGTATGGAGGTTTCTTAAAAAACTAAAAATAGAAAATACTGTATGATCCAGCAATCCCACTCCTGAGCATTTATCTAGAGAAAACTCCAGTTCGAAAAGACACATGCACCCCAATGTTCACAGCAGCACAATTTACAATAACCAAGACATGGAAGCAACCTAAGTGTCCATGAACAGAAGACTTGAGTAAAGAAGTTCTGATGTATTTGTACAATGAAATACTACTCAGCCATAAAAAATAATAAAATAATGCCATTTGCAGCAACATAGATGAACCTAGAGATGATCATATTGAGTGAAATAAGTCAGGCAGAAAGACAAATACCATATGATATGACTTAAATGTAAAATCTTTAAAAATGACACAAATGAACTTACTTACAAAACAAAAATAGACTCACAGACATAGAAAACAAACTTATGGTTACCAGGGGTTGAGGAGGGGGATAAATTAAGTTTGTGACTAGCAGATACAAACTACTATATATAAAATAGAGAAACAACAAGGCCCTACTGTGTCGCACAGAGAGTAATAACCTGTAATGGAAAAGAATCTGAAAATATGTGTGTGTGTGTGTATAACTGAATCACTTTGTTGTACATGAGAAACTAATACAACATTTTAAATCAACTATATTTCAGTAAAAAGTGGTATTAAAAAAAAAGAATAGCGCATGATTACCAAAAAAAAAAAAAAAAAGAATAGGGTGAGGTTATGTTGTAAATACTAGAAGAGCCCTGCAGTCAGAAATCTATGCAGGAAACCCTCATCCTTGGAGAATATTAATGTTATGCCAAGAATACAAGGGAAGTTTGCAGGCGTGCAGTTCACTCTCCATAAGTGTAAGATCTTATTTGTGAAAGCACTTTAGAAACATTTTAAGCTGATACAACTCTGATTTGTGGACTTCAGCATTTTTGGTATTTTGTTTCCCATTTTGTCTCAGTGTTGTGGGGTGTTTTCTATTTTAGAGAGAGTGGTGTTTAAATATTTAAGATGTTAAGGAGGGAAGACACACAACTGAAACAGAAGACACGAGCCAAGTCCCTGGTGAGGTGTGCTTACCTGGCTGGAGGGAGTGGGCTGGATGGAAAAGCCCCATCCAGACTGTAACTCCTCTTTCAAAAGTGACCTTTTTCAGTTTCTAAGTGTGGGAATCCTGGCTAGTCGTGTCGTCCAAACTATACAGAAGTACACTGGACCTTTCTTCGTGCACTGTATTCATAATAAGATCATACAGCGCATTACCGGAAGAAAGTGGATTCTTGCGTTTGACCTCCAGTGACCTGCCTCTGCTCCTTGTTAGAGGTGTGAGCAAGTAATTTGCCTCTGAATTCTTGTTTATCATCCATGAAATAGGACCTAGAACAGGAATGACAACGCTAGCTTTGGGCATTGTTGGGAGGACTCATCGCGATAAAGTCTTAAAACGTAAATAGGACGCTGCTTGCTCTTGTGACCTCGGCTCTTCTCATTGGAGGGTTGCTTTGGTCTTGCTGTTGCAGTTTGTGGAGCGAAGTGAGGCCCACGTGTGTTCCCACATTGAAGAGGTTTCCCCACCAGTCAGAGGGAACGTGGTCGTGACAACAGAATTTTTATTTTTAACAGTCTGTTCATATTTAAGGGCTCAGAATCCATGCATATTTCCTTATTATATGTGATTCTCTGACACTGAGTACTTATTCTGTCAAATGAAATAACAGGTTTAGCCCCCAGATGTTTTGGGAAATGTGGGAAACAAAGGAAAGGCAAAGAAACTAGAAATTATAAAAATGCTGTGGCCTGGAGCAGGAGGAGTATACAGATAGCCTTCAAAGGTTGAAATTTCTAATTGAAAACAATTTTAAGTCTCTGATTATAGAGGCAGCATGCTCTAAATCTGAAAGCCAAGGGTTTTACTATCAAGTGAGATTTGAATCTCCGCTTAACTATGCCTCTGCCTCCTTACAGTCTCCTCTTGGCGTCTTTGATCTTCCGTTTCATCCTGTAAAGCAAGACTCCTCCTGCTTCCAGGGAGGGTGCAACTTAGCAAATGACTGAGGTTTACAGCTGGTGGACACTGTGGTTTCTTATTACTCCTACGGTGATTATTCTTGAACTTTTAGATTCTGTAGTCTCTCTCTATATATGTGATTTCAGAAACAAAGCCGAATGCTTTCACAGCTTACAGATCACCATGGTTTTAAGCACTTGCTTCTTGTCTCTGACCAAGTCCTCCCACCCTCCTGTTTGTCAGTCCCCCCTCCCGCGTGGTCGAGCAGGTGGCGATTTCCCCGCTAGGTCAGCTTCAACCTGCTCTGGGCCTGGAGAAGGAAACTTGGAAGAAAATTGTAAACAGGTAGATTGAAAACTGTGTACTAATTTGAAGAGACACGTCACTGTTTGCATTTTAGATTATTAATCCTGATTATCCTTGTGAAGACACTGAGGAGGTTTTTTTGAAGAAACCTAAAATTAATACACTGTGTGAGAGAGGGAGAGTGCATGCGCCTGCCCGTGTACATGTCTGTGCTTTGGTGTGTCGTGTGATTAACTTCCTCCCCAAAGAAATGGGCCAAATTTTAACTAATTCTTAACGAACTAGCAAAGGAGAGATACATCGGAAGATTCCAAAATACCTTCGCTTTGGTGATTTTCCAAAGCAATTTTAATGACAATCTGAAGAGAGCAGTAATAGTTGTTTAATGAAAGGAGAAAACTCCTTTTCCTCTCAAGTTTTAAGTTTTCCCTGATTAGTACCAACACTGAAGCATCTGTCAGAGTTTAACTGACCTCCCGTCTGGAAGAATTCTTCCCTGCTCTGAGGTACACAGCACTCAAGGAGGCTGACAGCCCTGGGAGTCCTTTCCAGACCTGAGCAGTGAGATTGGAAGGACTTCTTCCCTCACCCCCAAATTCCACTGCAGGGGCATCAGTGGGGATCATTTCCTTTTAATTCGCCACCCAATCTTTCAGGTACACTGCCCTGGGGTTTTCCGTTAGAAACGTCTACCTGCAGATGAATATTCTAGGACCATCACCGTCTCATTCCTTTTCCAACTGTGATGTAAGATCTTTTACAGATAATACGTTAAAATGAGCACTTCTATCCATTTCTGGGTCGTATTAGAAAAAGATTTTACTTTGAAAACAGCTTTAAGCCAAATGGCTACTTTTGAAAACTATGTAGAATCATTTATATTTTGTATTTTGGAAAACGCACAAATGAGTTATAGTCATTTCTGCATATAAATAACACATGTACTGTCTGTCCAGCTAGTTATATTTTCAGAATTCTCTCTTTCTCTTTGGTTTCTAAGCCAAATTCGATTTCAGGGTTGTTGAGAGGAGGCTCCGGGTGGGTCAGCAGGTGCTGTCTGCCGCTCCCCCTCCCATCGGACCAGAGTCCCTGATGCAAAGCAGTGCAGTCTCTGGGCTGCCACGTGGCAGCCCTCTTGGTCCTAAAAGATCCCCAGTTTTATCATTTGCTTCATGAATAACCCCAAGGAGGTTTGTAGTGTTAGATATCTTGTCATTCTGGGAAGAAATTAGATATAAAGACAGTGGCACATTCCATGTGAAAATATACTATTCACAAACGTAAGACATTGTATAATCTTCTAATGCCACTTTCAGTCAACAAAAAATAAGTGCCTAAGCTTTCTTACTAAATTGGTGACATTGATTTTTTTTCCCCTGCCAAAACACAAGACTGCTGCTTTCCTTCTCTGAAGTGTGGTGTTTCCTGCATGCATTTTTTTCTAACATCTAATAAAACTTTTTTATTTTTTGTTTGTTTTTTAATGCACAGGTTGCTTTGCATGATTTGGGGAATTTGCTTTTATACAAATACACAGTTTGTATTAACAGTGTGTTAAATTGATGGTGAAACAGGTTTTCAGATAATGATTTATTAAACATGTTTCCATAATGAAATGTAGAAATGTGTTTTAGCACAATCGGTAATAATGGTTTTTGCCTGTGTCACGGAGACACACTGGCCCTTATGACTTAATTTTTGCAAAGGCTATTAATGACCAGAGGAAAAGATCCTTTTGTCCAATGTTGTGCTTAATGAATGCTTTTGACATTTTAGAAGATAGTTTTTGAATGTGAAAAAATATTATTCTGATATTTTAAAATTTATAATCGCTTTTTATTTTTGGTTAAATACATTTGGGTCTTTGGGGTTTGTTTTTTTCCCTTCTCCAGGCATACAATAGTAGTTTTGTTTTAACTGTACCTAAAATTAATTTTAATGTTATAAAAATACTGAAGTATTTTGTGTTTATTTCTAAAGCATTTCTCAGCAAACATGTTTTTATGTAATATTCTATATCATGGGGAGATATTTAGAATAATTATTGCAAATCTAAAAATTACAGTCTTTGGAAAAATAAACATTTTCCAAATGTTTTCATAATATTCATAATGATTTTCATAATATGTTTTCCTTTCTTTTGGCTCTTAGACATTTGTAAAAAAATGCCTGTCAGTAGTTACTAAAGTTTTCTTCTGGCATAGTTTTTCCAAATCAAAGCCGTCTTAACTAACCCCTCAGCCTGTCTAAGCGCGAGCACCTCCAGCAGCACCTAACTCGCTGGGCTCTGCGTCTCCTCGGTGCTGCCACTGTAGCCACTTGCTTCCCCCTCCGTTGCTGCTAAGTGATGACAAGCAGTCCTGCACCTGTTGTCTCTGATAAAGAACAGTACCATATAAATCTGGTCTGCCTCAATGCATAGGTGTAAAAGTACGAGTTTTTCAGGTGTACTTAAACACTCTCTTCTTCTAATTATTTCTCAGTCACTAAGAAAAGTGGTTTCTCAAGATAACCCAGTGATAGCTTGTTTAGAAATCTGTTCTCTAAAGGGGAGGGCATAGCTCAGTGGTAGACTGTGTGCGTAGTGTGCATGAGGTCCTGGGTTCAAGCCCCAGTACTTCTGTTTAAAAATAGGTAAATAAATAAATAAACCTAATCACACCCCCTACCAAAAGAAGAAACCTGTTCTCTCCAGGGTACCCTGGGAGCCTTGTCCAGTGCTAATGTATTAGAGCAAGTAGTCCTTAAGTCTTTTGAAAATCTTTAGTTGTTTAATTTACATATTTACCAGCTTTGTTCCGAGTACTTGACAGCTAAGGAGAAGTTACAGGACCTGATGCCCAGGCTGTTGAATGAAGCAGGGCTTATTTGCCATATTGAAGTTTATATGTTAGTTACGGTTGATGACACTGTTTTCTCCAGGTGTGGTTTGTTTTTGTTTCTTATGGTGAAGATGCCCTCTTATTATTCTAGTCGTACAAAAGAGTTTCCTCTTAAAAACAATCTTAATGAGCATTTGACCAAGATTTGCAATCGTAGTAACAGAAATTAATCATGTTTTTTCTAGGCAGCACAAATTGTGCTAATCTCTCTGTTTGAATTGAACACTCCTGAGTTTACAATGTTACTTGGTGCCTTGCCAAAAACATTCCAGGATGGTGCCACCAAACTCCTGCATAACCACCTCAAGAACTCCAGTAACACCAGTGTGGTGAGTGCCCTGTGACCCCGTACCTTGTCTAGAACTTATGCTGATGGGTGGTGGCTTGCTTCTTCTCTCTCAGTGATGGTGGCTCTCAGGCATGGGACCTCATCTGACCCTGCCACTCTCCCAGTGAGTGAACACACCTGGTAGTTAAATACGGCCTTTTTCTCGGGTTAGGTTGTTCAGTTGGACCTTTTACTCGGTCATTCAGTCACTCAGTTACCTCTTCTGTCGCACTGTGAAGATACAAGTGGTAACTGTCTGTTGTTGCTCCAGCACAGCTAACCTCACTCACTCAGCTTTAGGGGTGCTTGTGTGACAGTTCTCCATCCACTTCTGGTTTGTGTGCACTTAAAATTGGCCGTACGACTCTGGGAGGAAGCACCCTGATTGTGCAGGCTCTGCCCAGTTAGCCTCATGTGGGCCCAGGGCTCCAGAGAGGTGGGGCTGTACTGTGCTGACCCCTTGTGTGATGTCGCTCTCCCACCTTTGTCCAGGGCTCCCCGAGCAGCACAATCGGCCGGACTCCATCCCGACACACCAGCAGGACCAGCCCCCTGACCTCACCCACCAACTGCTCCCATGGGGGCCTGTCTCCAAGGTAAAGCCATTTCAACAGAGCGGGAAACACAAGCACCCCAACATCCGTCAGCCTGTTTCTAGGGTTTCAGACCCAAGCTTAGTCCCCAAAGTGTGTGGCACCAGGAGTCCATGGGTCCTAGTCCTCACCAAATCTGAACTCTGTCATTTTGGGCAAAGCGAGTAACTGGTATTGTGAAATAAGTGGTTTCTGAGATTCTTCTAGCTCTAAACACTTCCTAATGTTTTAAAATTTTTTAAACTAAGGTAACATTTAGTACTGTTCTACATAGGATCCATTTAGAGACTCATCACCTATTCTGTATGTGATAGGAACCCCTGAAGGTTTTCGGTCATCAAAGGCAATCATGTAATCAGCCCATGCATAATCTGGGGTGGCTTTCCCACCACGTGGCTATCCCACACACGGTTGCTGTCACCTGGGTTCACGTTGGCCGCAGGATGCGGCTCTGGAGGATGGGTTCAGAACCGAGGACAGAGACTGGATCAGCATTGCAGACTTTTGTTGGGACCATGTGAATGCTGGCCTTCAGAGTCCGAGGCAGCAACTTAGAAAGAGGAAGGCTTTGTCTGGAGACCAGAGCCTTTAGCGGGCTCTGCACGGCGGCTCTCTGGGCCCCCCTGCTGTGTGCTGGTTTCTTGTGGCTGTATGCAGAGCGTGGCCCCGTAGGCCCACTTTTTAGGAAAGAGCCCACTGCCTGCACCTGCCAGGGTCATATAAGCCATGCTCATCTCCGGGAAGTACTGATCTTTGGGGCCACTAACAAGAATCGGAGGCTGTCTCTCGATTTGTTGACACCAGGATCTGAAAATTGTAAGAAAATACAAGTATGCCATTTGCCTTTAGGAGTTACCTCTTTAGTAGGATTTCAAGATGTAAGTGCCTTTAAATCTAGATTTTGAAATGATCAGGGGTCTTACAAACTCCTCTGTCCTTTCTCAAGTTATCATATAAATATTTTGGGATGTGTCAAATTTGTATTTCTCTCTTGGAGAAACAAATTGTTTTGTGTATTTATAGTGTCCTAGTGTGTGTGGACTACGTTTAATTTAAACATAGCCTTATGTTTAGTATCCTGGGTATCCAGAGTACCTCCTAAGGTGTCCTGGTGCTGTATTCAGGTGGAGTGAAATGTGGCATTATGTCTCCAGATATGGCCGTGTTGTCCTGACTTGAGCAGGGGAACGTCAAGTACCATTAGACAGTGGAAACCAGAAGCTAATGAAGATGTTTGACTTTCCCCAAGTCTGACTGAGGCTCAAACGGCTGCTTTTAAATGTTAATATCTGGATATAAATTATATGGCTTGTCTTAAATGACCCCAGTGTTGCCAGTAAAATCATAGCATTCTCTTTCTGGGTAGTGGAGAATTTTATGGAAAACAGTATTCTCTGTAAATTGTTGCTTCTGTTTAGAAGTGACACTTCTGCAATGTGAGTAATCTGTTCTTCTACAATACACAGCTCACATGTCTTATCTTCTAGTTACTTCATTAACACATTCTTTAGGTCATAAACAAAAGGTAAAACTCAAATTGTTTTATTATTATATGTACTAATAGTCTTAAGTAAAAGGCTGGTGGGGGCTGCTAGCATAATCTATCAGAGGTAACAATTGGCCAAGTATTAATCTTCGTGGATCCCCAAATTATTTAAAAATCTAATGTATTTTTCGAGGTCACCAGTCATTCTTAACTGGTCTGATCTGAATTTTTACTCTTAGGGCCACAGGTCAGTGGAAGAAATGAGAATTATTTTCAGTATTAGAAAGTCCGACTGTAGCCTAAATATTATCAGTGACTCCTTCTTTCAGGAATTAGTTGTATAGTTTCTTTTTTTAAACAACATGCCCTTAGTCAGTGTGTACCTAGCCTGAATGGCCTTAGCCAACTTGAACTCAACAGATTAAATGATTTTTCTCACAACTGAAACCATCCAGAATTAGGAAAAGCTGCCTTGTGTGGTCATATCACTGGGAATATTCAAATAGGCCACATAGTTTCTACTAGGAGATTTATAAAAGGAATGAACTCTTGTACTAAAGAAGAGAACGTACTAGGTTACCACATTCTGAGTAGGTGATAGACAGATTCTACTGGATATAATCTCAGCTATTTTTCTGAGCAGTGCTCTGGAAACATTTATCTTCTGTGACCTGCTATTCTTTGGAATCATCTTGATCATGTGATGCTAGCCTTTTATTGCCAGTTATTTGTTTTTAATCTAATTTGGAGTATCAAAAATAGAACTAGTATTTTTTTTAGTGCCAAAATTCTACCTTCAAATTATGGTAGTAATAAAATATTCTAAAATGATGGACACATTTAATTTGGTAGTTTTTTTTTTTTAAACAAGTCACTAGTGAGGAATTCATTTTTATCAACCCAGTACTAGTGGAGAGGCCATAGCTTAGAGGGCAGACGTGTGTGAAACGCTCCGTCAGCTGTTGTTTCCGTGGGAGGGCGGAATCACTGCTCCTCCAGCAGGCGAACACTCTCCGGGCGAGTGTGGACAGAAGACATGGCCTGGGGCGTTTGGTCACTAAGCACCTGTTTCTATTTTAGCTCATTTTACCCAGTGCGATTTATGTCACATGAAACAGGGTTGCTAGGGCTTCAGAAATTCGGGCAAGCCCTTTCCTTTTGAGATAAAAGTGGGTGGGGGTCCTGACTCTGGTCCACAGCACATTCTCGGTGAATGTGTTGTGGGGCCCTGAGTGGGTAGATACTCTGTGACCCTGCAGTCAACGTGATTTGGGGGTGGATTTCACAGTCATCACATCACGGGACCAGAGTGGAGGCTGCCGGGAGCCCCTGCCTCCATCCGCCTGGCCGCAGAGTCCGGCTGGGGCACCCGGTCCTCCTTCAGGCTGCACGGCTGTCCTCTGCACTGTTCTCCTCGGCACAGGCATAGCTGGTGGCGGTGCTGCTCGGGGTCTGGCCCCCACCTCGGGTCCCGGTGTGCCTGAATCTGTAGGATCACAGCAGCAGTCAGGCCCAGCCAGCCCAGCCTATCAGCGCTGTGTGGAAGTGGGGATTGGTGATCTGGATGAGCTCTGACCCTGTGTTGCGATGGGAACGAGGACGTGGGGCCCGGCTCCTGGCCCCAGGGGTGCTGCTGTCCTCTCTGAAGGGACTAGCCCCAGGGGTCCCGGATGGGCACCTGTCTGCGCTCGAGTGCTTGGTCTTCCCGCTGTCCTCCCTGTCATCCCCTTTGAATTAAGGCCCATAATTCCCTCTTTGGTTCTTTCTAAAATAATTGATTGCAGTATCTGAAAGTAAACATCTGTACTTTTCGCATGTAAGTGCTTGTGACATCCTTCCCACGCACTTGTGCCCACAGAAGCGCACACATACACTCGTACACTTGGAGTCCCGTGTGATTGAGGAGTAAATTCTTGGCTGGGTGGGGAAGGAGTGAAGAGGTCTCCCTGAGGACCGAATGGTAAAACGCAGTCTGTTCTCTCTCTGTGTCTGGTGAGGTACTGACTCTGACGGAGCCTCGTCGAGGAGCGCGGGGCTCTGACCCGAGCGTGGCGCCCCGCCCTCCGTTTCTCTCTCTGACTTTGCCCTCTGCCCACTGCAGTCGGTCGTGGGGCTGGAGCGCCGCGGGGCTGGCGAAGCTCACGCCTCCCTCCTCTCAGCCCGGCCCCGCTCCCTCCCACAAGACATTCAGGCGCTCTTGCTCTCCCAGGTAACAGCCAGCTGTCAGCTCGTCGGAGGTGTCACAATATTATTGCATTTCCAGGGTTGTCTCAGGTCTCTGGGAAGCCTCTCCTGCCTCTGGTGTGGCCCCTGTTTGGCCTTGAGCAGCGGAGTGGAGCCTTGGGAAGAAGTGTGAGCAGGTGTGTGGTGTCTGTCGAACCCACGAGGGCAGCCTGTGTCACGGGCACGGAGACCACCTCGCCCATGGGCAGGCCCCTCAGCGTGGCGCTCAGCCCTAAGAGTGCTGGGGCAAAGCCTGACGTCAGGGCCACCGTGGGTAGTGTCGCGTGTCCTGCTTAGGGCTCAGGGGTCCGCACGCAGTGGCACAGGAGCCTTGCCCTTCTTTGCACCCACAGCTCTCAGCCCTGTGCTCGGCCTCGTGGCCTGATGTCTCTCACAAGGACTCGGGTCCCGAGAGGAAACCCTGCCCTCAGCATGAGCTGTTTTGCCCTCACACGCCATCGGGTATGCCGTGTCAGGAAGTCCGGGGGGGGCAGGGGTTATGGCAGATGCTGAGTCTGTGGTACACAAAGGAGGGTCCCCAGGTGCTGTTTATTATGGCCCAGAGGTCAGAGAAGCCCTTCCCTGGACCCTAGTTACACGGGCAGAGCCTGGAGCGGCCTGGCCGCCTCCTGCAGTGGAGATGAGGTTGTACCCTCTATGAGGGGGTTGCAACGACATAAGTGTGTTAGTCTTGAAGCTTGGGAGATGGCTTTTGCACAGATGTACCTTCTGCTTTAGAATCCTCAACACAGCGAAACCGTACAAGGTGAACAAGTCAGCAAAACATTTTAACAGCATCTTTCTTTTGAGACTCACAGCTCAGCTCTGGAAGTAACTTGTAGAATGTCCGGAGGACCCCGTAGTGAGTGTCTGGATGCACCAGGTTGCGGCAGTGAGGCGGCTGCCGTCCCAGGGCTAGTAAGGCACGTCACTGTCACCGTGGTGCTCCACAAGGTCAGTCAGGCCCCAGAGCGGACGAGCAGTTTACTGCCCACCCCTCAGGATGCTGGCCTCCGTGTCTTCCTGGGTCCTGAGCTCCCAGAGCTGTCGTGTGTGCAGTCATCCAGCCAGTGCTTGGTGACTAGCTGTGACTTGTGATAACTAGCAGAGGGACAGAGGGGTGACTGGAGACCTTGACACCTGGAAGACCTACCGGTTATAGAAAACTAAGAGGAAGTCTATATCCGTCTCTGCCAAGACCCTGTTGATTTCACAACAAGAAACAGTTACCTTTAGTCCATGCCTAGTATCTTTTCCCTAGAAAATAACAAGGAAGAAAGTCTCTGAAGACAAACTTCCTGTCTCCAGTTTGTCTTTCCCTGGCGCCTGCCCCGGTGATCTGGACCCTTCCCAGCAGGGCACGTCCAGAGCTTCGTTCTGCCCCAGCACTGGGTGATACCGTAGGTCAGTGAACAGTGGCCGATTGAGCAACTCTTCCTAATCTAAAGAACCCTATGAGCCTTTCTTGAGTCTAATCACAGTGTTTACAGGCAACCAGGACCTAACCTTTAACCCGAAGGATTGTATCTTGGAGCTGAAACAAGACAGAATGCGGGGGCAGGTGACAGACCCAGCCACGTCTCTGCTGAGAACAGGGGCTTCGTCCCTCTCTGTTCCCCCACGTACTGCTGGTCGGGACCACATTATCTGTGGTTCCCTGATGATGGCATACCTGGGTTCCTTTTTTCCTTCCAAAATGAAGGCTCATGGGTGTCAATTTGAAAGAACACAGATGACAAAACACAAAATAGCAAGTAGAGTAGCATTGTCTTTCCTGGAGCTTGACGGTTTGAGCTTCAGACCAAAGAGGTCTCCAGACCTCAAGCTAGAGAGTCTGAAAGAAGTGTTGCCAGATTGTTCTGGGTCATGTGTCTTACACTCCTAAATTGGAAGTCTGAGTGGGTTTATCAATTGAAAGTAAGAAGGAGGAATGTTAACTGGCAGAATCCTTTATTTTCTGATTTTAAAAAGAGGCTGCTATCATGCTAAAGTTATGTGAACTGAAATGAAATACTTTAAGATTAAAGTTCAGGTTAAGAATGAGATGAATTTTGTGAAAGCTGACATTTTCTGAAGCGACACTTGGAAAATAATATTGTGACATCCCTTAAAAAGCTGAACGTCCCGCCCGACGTCTCCTGTCCATCCTTCATCCTTTCCTTTTTTTTCCCTTTTGCATGAGCTGTGCTGTTCTTTTTGGTTGTTGTGATGAAAAGTGTTTTAAGGCATCCTTTTACATCTTGTGTACGTACTTTCTGTTTAAGTCTTGTCAGTCCTCACGTACGAACGCAGCATACTGGCCGGATGTATAAATGCCCTTGCTCCCGCGTAAGCTGGTGTGCGGGTTCTCGAGCGGTCAGGGAGCCCTGTGCTCCTCGGCTGTGCTTCCTTCACGTTGCAGGGATCTTGCCTCAGACGGATGACCTTGTGAACTTAGAAGGGGTTGGAATCCTGAGTTCTGTTCAGGTTTTTGATTCCGCCTCCCATTGGTGTGTGCATGGAATTTGAGCTGTAAACCTGCTCGGGTTCACATTTCTTTTTCTTTGATGCCAGAGCCAGTCTTTGAGTTGGTGTGTGTTTCTGTGAGCTCTCCAAGTACAGTTGGGGCGCGTGTTTTCTTTGATTCATCAGGAAAGAAGAGAGGGCTCTTATCTGGGCCAGTTTTGCGGTTTTAGGCAAATAACCTCCATCTCTGAGAGTGACATCGGATTCAGTTCCAGCGTCATCTCGGAAAACACTTGGCTTGTCAGCCCCGAGTCAGTAGGGGTCCTGGCTACTCCAAGTGAGGGCTGTTCAAATCTTGTCTCACTCATCCACCCAGACCCTTGACCCCAGAAAAGGGACAGGTGTGGGGGGGGGCTGTGGGGAGCCCTGTAAACAGGACCTCCTCTTACAGGGACACACAGGCGGGCTCCATTGCCCTTGGGAAGGAAGGGTCCCACCAGTGAGTGCCTGGTTTCAACAGGAAGATGGCTTTTCTTTAGTCCTCCATCATAATGTCGAATGCTTACCTACCTACAGCCAGGAATTCTTGGCAGTGTCCCCCGAAGTCTCCAGTGTGGCCCAGGACTCTGCTTTTACATTACAGCAGCTCACCTGATCTTTTCATGAAACCAGTGACGTCTCAGCTTAGTCACGGTTTTTAAGTTGCCCTTTGTTGGCTGCGTCTTCATGTTCTGGTTTCTTCATACCACAGTACCCACACCGTGCTTTTCCTTCTGTTTTTAAGTTCTTGGTGAGGGACAGTGATGGTTTTTGTTCGTGGGATCTCCTGTCTGCTTCCATGGACTTTTCAGACATCTCAAGGTCACTTGCTCATAAACCGCATCACACCTAGAGGCTATTAAGGATTTTTGCTTTACCTCATGTTTTGCTGTGCTAAGTGTCTAAAAGAACAGCAGTTGACGTCACTTTTCTGTAAGGGACAAACTGTTCCTTGCTTTTTGAAGTGCTTTTAGATTCTCATTTGGAAATGCGACTCATCTGCCCAAGATCTGCTTTTTTGGTGGTGGGGGGGCGGATTAGGTTTATTTACTATTGTTTTTTCATGGAGGTACTAGGGATTGGACCCAGGACCTCGTGCGTGCGAAGTCTGTTTTGTTGTAAATGCCCAAAACAAACTAGCGGAGTTTGGAGTTTGATGGCGCAGGGGCTTTCAGGAGCCTGCGGGTGGGGAGGGCCTGACTTTGCGGCATCTCTTGCCACAGGGCTCTGCCCTGCAGGGACACCACCCAGTCCCTTGAGGTCACGTGCTTTGCTCCTTTGAAATTTGTAACACTAGCCCTCCAAGTGCCTGTTCCGGGGGGAGAGTATGCTCAAGTGGTAGAGTGCATGCTTAGCATGCACAGGGGCCTGGGTCCAATCCCCAGTACCTCCACTGAAAAACCAAGTAAATAACCTAATTACCTCCCCTCTGCGAAAAAAAGAAAAAAAACAAAGGTGCCCATTCCTCCTCTAATTTATTTGTACATTTGAGACCAGTAACGACCAGACTCCTTTTTCCATCTTCAAGATACGAAAGTCATTTTTCCACTGTCGTTGCCTCGTGCGTTGTCACTGGTGGTCACTGAGTCGTGCCTTCTCCTGTCACTACTGTTTCCCGCCAGCTCTTCCTGTGTCCAGGGCTGGAGGCTCGACAAAAGGTGTCTCCTTTTCATTCCACGTCACCTACAGAAACTGTCATTATATTCATACATCTGTAAACTATTAGAAGTAATTTCTACCCACACCTCAGTTTAAGACAAAGTACCTTTGCCCTTTAGCATGCTGGACTATGACACGGAGAACCTGAACTCGGAGGAAATCTACAGTTCTTTGCGTGGAGTGACAGAAGCCATTGAAAAGTTCAGTTTTCGAAGCCAGGAGGATTTGAACGAGCCAATTAAAAGGGATGGCAAAAAGGACTGTGATAGCGTAAGTACCCCCAGGCTGGCGGAGGTCTCTCTCAATCAAGGATAATAGCCACCCTGGCTGAGAGAACTGTGTGTCAATTAAGTGATAGTTCTAAACACTGGCCACTGCAATTACTGAACTTCAGATTTATTTTTATCTTGTAGTTAGAACAGTATTATTTTCAGACGCCCAAGGCAATTTTACGAAATTTCAGTAACCCCCAGCTATCTTGGTGAAGAATGTTAAATGCCCTTTCTCTCGGTTTGCTTTCACTTACCCTGGACATTTTTTGTTCCGTGCTGAGATAAAAGTAGTGAGTCTACACCAGACCCCGGCCTGGTTCGCAGGAAGTTGGGGTGCAGCAGGGGTGGTCAGGGCCGGTCCTGGTGCCCAGGAAGCATCTGCGCAGAGATGATTTCACCCTCTGAGCTGAAGTGTGGGGGTCGGGGGCGGTGGAGGGTGGGCTGGAGCCAAGAGGGGCCTGTGGGAAGGCAGAGGGATAGGATGGCACAGGGTATCTGAAGTGCGGAGTTGAGTGCCCTGTTGGCAGCTCTGCCAGGTGCCACCAATGTCCTGACCTCACCCTGGGGCTACTGGAGAGTCTCTGAAGGACTTTTTACCAGGGACATGACATGGCCACACCCACTCTGAGTGGGAGACCAGTCCTCTAGAAAGTTGGGCTGAGTGGGGCATGGGCAGAAACAGGAGAGAACCTGAGTAGCTGCAGGTGCAGCTCGGTGAGACAGCATCTCCTTCAGAGTGGAGCCCTCGGGCGAGACGAGCTCGGGGCCCAATGCGTGTGACTTGCAGGACCTGTGACACTGAGCAGACGTGTCCAGTCGACCTGTGGGTAGAGCAGTCTGAGGTGCGGCAGGTGACCTGGGCTGTGGACGGGGGTGAGAGACTGTGTCTAGGTCTCTGATTGGGGTGGTGACTGAGGAAAAGTGGGGGAGACCAGCCCAGAGGAGGCGAGGACGGGTCTTAAGGAGCATCAGCCCTGAGGGAGACAGAGCAGGAGCAGGCAGAAGAGGGACCGCAGGCGGTAGGAGGAAGGTGGGGCCGCAGGCTCAGGGGAACTTTCAGGAAGGACGTGCCAGCAGCAGGAGTCTATGCAGGGATGTCAAGTCAGATGGGGGTGGGGTGTGTCTTTTTTTTAACCTGTCCACATCAAATGTACTATTTTAATCCAAAATACATGGAACACACATTCACTTACTTGTGTTTTGATGCGGATCCAAGACCTTTTCTTTGAGGTTGGGCCCGTTTGGACTCCGTGTTCCTTCTGTTAAATGGACTTTACACCCAGTTGCAGTCTGCAGTTTCCAGGCTCAGTCTCTCCCGGGGTCCTTTGCAGTTTGTGGGCAGAGTTCAGAGCAGAGCTGAGTGGAAATGAGGTTCTGGTGCACTGAGGAGTGACTTGAGTATGGACTGGAGAGACTTGTGGGGTCACTTGGGCTTTGACACTGGGGAGACCTGACCTGTTTGCAGGCTGAGGGGCCAGTTGAGAGGAAAGGGTTGACTCCGCAGTGGACGGTGGGCTGTTGGGGACACGGGCCCCTCGGGACGCGGGAGGGTGAGTTGCGGGCCCTGGTGGAGCGGGTGGGCCATAGCTAGCAGGGAGTGGGGGGTTCCTGCTGACCACTCCCGCTTGCCCTGGGGCCTGAGGCCTGGGCGCTGGCTGTGGTGAGGACAGCGGAGGTTTCCAAAGTGCCTGTGAAGAATTTTGAGGGAGGTGTGCAGACCTGATTAGGGAAGCAGAATCCTGCCAGGAACAGTCGAGGCCCCAGGAGAAGCTGGATGACTGAGCTGTTACTTTCCTGATTATAAAACTCAATATATCGCCAGCATGTGAGATTTAGAAAATGCAAAAAGAAAAAAATCACCGTCTTTGGAGGTAACACCACTAACGTTTCCGTGTGCATTTTCCTGTTCCTTTCGGTGTATCTTCCACATCCATAGAGTAGGGGTGTGTGTGGAGTGTTTCAAAGTAGAAGTCATGCTGTGTTCCTGCTTAGTGTAGGACGGGCACCCTCCCCGTCAGCGTCCCTACGGACGAGAGCTCCTCTGTGACAGACCATCCTCACGTCCTCGGGCCCTACTTTTGTTTCCGGTTTTTCACAGTTAAAATGCCGTGCGGGAAGGTGAAAGGGAGGAAGTGGGGGAGCGTTGTAGGGACGGGGCCGCCGGGCTGGTGCGAGTTAGGTACCATGTGTCAGAGGCTGTTCCCGCCAGAGGATGTGGCACCGGGTAGGGAAGTGAGATTGAAGAGTGACATCTCCGCCACTGATGACCAGGTGTTACTAAGAAGCTAGGGAGATCTAAAACTGCGCTGGATATACAAGAGTCGGGCCCAGTGTCCCCCTTTCCAGGGAGTTCCTGACCAGCAGACCCAGTTGGGGCAACGGACACATTGGCGGGAGAGGGTCTAGGGAGCAGGGTGGGCAGCATTATGCGTGTGAGGCTCCTCTTCCCTCTGGATCGTTCTCCTGATCCAGTGGAAGGCACAGCACTCAGCGGCAGGTGGAGGGACCTCAGGACCCGGCAGAGACGATGGCCTGGGACATGCTTAGCAAGGCTGCAGCTGATGGAGGAGATTCCACATTCCCTGTCCTTTGTCCATTGGTCTAACTTTGGGCAGCCTCTGCTGAGTGATGGACTCGGCAAAGGGGAGAAAGCGGGTATTTCCACAAAGTAGTTTATTTCAGCGTTACTTACAGTCTCAGGAAACAAAAACGTTAAGGAAGACGGCAGAAGGGGAGTAGTTGAGTAACTGAGGACACAAGAAATAGTCTGTGGTTAAGCATTATGGTGACAAAAACCGTCCTTAACGTGGGACGTGCTTACGCTGTGAGGAGAGCAAACTGCATGATCCTCGGTCCTCGGACTCCCACTCTGTAAAGTCTGCCGTACACAGAGACCAGGTGGTGCACAAGGTTAAGAAGGCAAGTTTGTTGTTGTTACAGGTGATGAGTATGAGGATAGTTAAGCTTTATTTTTTAAATGTCTGAAGTTTTTAAAACTCCTTCTCCTTTTACAAATAATTTCTTCATTATATTAATAACATATTTTACTTGTAGAAGAGAGTTACAAAGAAAAAATTAAAATCATCCATGAGTCATCTTACACCAAAAGTCCCTATGAAGTCTTACTTTGTTCATATCTATGTGTGTGTTATATTCATTTTTATCTTAGCAACTATGTTAGTAACAAAGTGTTGGCGGGGGTGGGTGGCAGGGGGGCAGATGTCGAAACCAGATGCATCCCAGCAGTCCCTGCAGGTGTGTGTCCAGGGACTAGACCAGTGTGTGTGGACCAGGGATCAAGCAGCCTCGATCACGGTAGCCAAAGGTGGAAGCAACGCAAGTCTCCATCAGTAAATAAGTGCATGAACACAGTGTGGCTACACATGCGGTTGAATTCTGTTCAGCCACAGAAAGGGGTGTGATTCTGACACGTGTTACAACATAAGCAGACTTTGACACTGTGCTGAATGGAATAAACCAAACGCAGAAAGACAGAAATGTGTGGTTCCAGTGTACAAAGCCCCAGGACTCATCAGAGTCGGAGACGGTAGAGTGGAGGTGATCAGGGCTGGGAGGGGGGTATTACTTAGTGGGGTCAGAGTTTTGGTTGCGGAATATGAGGGAGTTTTACCCAGAATATAACCTAGTGGTGATGGTTACACAACATTGTGAATCTGTTTAATGTCACTGAATTGTGCACTTAAAAATTAAATGATTAAGTGACATATATATATATATTTTTTTTTTATTATAAATGTAAAAACAAATGCCTAAGCACAAAATGAGAGGGATTTTGTGAATGGCACAAGTGAAAACTACGCCATGGTCCTCCCAGTCGGGTCTGGCCACCCGGCAGTGCCCCCACTGCTCTGTGGTCACAGGTCCTATTGTGCTGTTTCCAGCCACACCTGCTCTGTCACCTGCATGGGGGCCAGAGTGCGCCGGGGGAGCAGGCCCTGAAAGTGAAGGTCAGAAGCGTGACGGCAGGGCCGGAGGCCCCCAGCTGTAAATTGTTGAAGACAAGATTCAGAATACATTAGGGAGAAATACTCAGAAAATATTAAAGACCTGTTCTTTGACGTGGAGTAAAGTCAGAACTACCCAAGGGAGGAGGGCCTGCTGGGGCCCTGAGTCCCCACTATGGGAGATGAGGACGCACTGGGGGGCCACTTTAGACCTGGTGGTAGCAATCGGGGAGAGTATATCCATTGGTGTCCTGTTGGCGGGGCCTCGGGGAAGACCCTGCTGTCAGTGACAGAAGCGGGGTTCCTGAGGCCCTGGGGATATGGGGTGAACAGCCTTCCACCTCCACCCTGCAGAGTCTCCCATTACTAACCTGTCAAAAAACGTGGGGGGGTACAGTTAATCATCAGGTAGGAATACCAGGCAGCATGTGTAAGCTGGTGAATGGACAGGTGTCACACCTGTCCTGTTCCCTTGACGGCAGTTTATAATAAATCACTCACAGACTGAGGCACTAGGGGCTGTCCTGGGGGCAGGGGCCAACTGCAGGGGTAGTGTCTGGGTGCCGCACGTGCGGGTGGGCATGTGCAGGGAAGGTCACTGACCGTCCCCAGGACTGACCACGTGCTGTGCTCCAGGTGGGCCGCGACAGCGGGGCCAGTGAGGGCCGGGGCGGCAGCGACGTGGTGGAGGGAGGCCGGACGGCCCTGGACAACAAGACCTCCCTCCTCAACACCCAGCCCCCGCGCGCCTTCCCGGGGCCGCGGGCACGGGACTACAGCCCGTACCCCTATGCTGAGCCCGCGGGCGCCTACGACAAGAGCGCGCTCAAGGAGGCTGTGTTCGACGACGACATGGAACAGCTGCGCGGAGGTCAGTCTGGCGGTGGGGTGTCTGGTGGCGGGGGGCTCTGGCCGCATGGGAGGGGTCTGTGGGCGGTGGGGGTTCTGGTGGTGGCGCTGTATCTCGGACCTGAGTTTTCCTGTTTTCACTTCTCTGTGAGGTCCACATATTTTGGTTCATTTCCACTCAGTAGTTACTCTTTAGAAATCACATACATATGTGTGTATAGTCTCCAAGCCTGTCATTTCGTGTTGCATTTCAATTCTGAGTGAAGAGTTAGGTTAGAACCTTGAACCACAGCTGTAAACAGGTAGCACTCACTGAATGTCTGCCGTGTGGCATGAAGCGTGTGGCTCGCCAGAGACGCAGCAGGCGGCCTGAGAGCCCAAGGCTTGTCAGGAACAGCCCGTGGCGATCGCAGCAGTGGGGGGGCCAGGCTTAGTGGGCCAGGAGAAGGGAGTCGCGCTGTCTCTGTGGGTCGGGCAGGGTGGATGGACCCTGAAAGGGAGGAGGAGGCTTGCAGCCGTCCAGGAGCAGAGTCACTGCAGGGTTGGAGAGCACGGTCCCTGGCTGTGGACTGCCGTCTGCACCCAGGCCTGTTTCGCGGACGGGAGGGAGGCTGTGCCTGTCACGCTTTCTAGGAGTGGGCTGTTCCTTCCACTGCTCATGGAATCACTGCATCGTTTAACTTAACTTGTTTGTTGGACACACTAGAGATTAGGGCACTGGCTGTACTGTACTTACCAGCTGTACGCAGAAAGGCTGAGAGAGAGAGGTGGGGTGTCGAGGGAAACGAGAGGACCCTAATACACACACGGCCTCCAATCTTAGAAGCTAAAAAAATAAGCAGATATAAATTTGGGGCTCCTGATGATTTCTCTTTGTATTTTCATCCTTTCTGTTTAAAGTTACCATTCAGAGTTGGATTCTCTTAAAAAGAACACAGAAACAGAAAGAATGTGGCTCTCTGCCATGTGAACCTCAGTCAGGTCCCTCCAAGCAGCTATGCCCTGAACAGACGGTCTGGGGGTAGCCTGAACCCCTGATTGGTGTGTGTTTGGGCTCCAGGCCTTCAAGGAGGGACTGGACATTAATGGGTCTGATGCAGTGGTGCAGGGCCTTGAGGAAGGTGGGTGCACCCTGTGGATTTGATGGAGTGAGAGGCTGTTCCCGGTGGGGCCTGACTGAGGGCGCACGTAGGGATGTGCAGGGCACAGAGCTGGGAAGAGGAGGCAGCGGTCCCTGTGCGAAGTAGGAGGGAAAGCAGGGGGTCAGGTAGGCAGACACTGATGCCTATGCTGGGCCTGTGTCGTCACGCCACACGGGATCTGGGAGGTGCCCTGCCGAGGGTGAGTGCGGGACCAGCGCCCCAGGGCAGGGCTGGGGCCCAGGGAGCAGGCTGAGCATCTCCTTCCACAGTAACCTGTGTCTCGTGTGTCTGACAAGTGCCCATCGACCATTCGGACCTGGTGGCCGACCTGCTGAAAGAGCTGTCCAACCACAACGAGCGCGTGGAGGAGCGCAAGGGCGCCCTGCTGGAGCTGCTCAAGATCACGCGGGAGGACAGCCTGGGCGTCTGGGAGGAGCACTTCAAGACCATCCTACTCCTGCTGCTGGAGACGCTCGGAGACAAAGACGTGAGGGCCCCTCCGTCCCCGTCCAGGCCGCCTCCTCTAAGTCCGCTTCCTGCTGGGTGTGGCTTCCGCCTTCCTTTCTGGGTTGTGCTTCCTCTTTACATCCCAACACTTGCAGACTTTCTGAGCACCACGTAGCAAGGTCACTTCCTTGTCAGAGACAGGCCTCTACCTGGCTGAGCTGCAGGTTTTCTGGGAACTGGGCTCCTGGTCGTTGAGGGAGACTTGTTCCTGCATCAGGTCACTGTAACAAAATTTCCTCCCACTTTGTTAGCACAGAATGGGGTTTTATGACGGGCTTTTTTCCTTATGAGTTTTACTTGCGTGTCATGTACAGTTGAGAAATAAAGGTTTGTTTTCTTGAAGGCCCCACTGTTCCATGCAGGTCCGACTTGGTTCCATTGCGCATGTTAACAGCTCAGTAATCTTGACTGGTCAGGTGACAGGGGCCAGACGCGTAGATTGTTACTGTTGTCTGTTACTGCCCATTATTATTTGTGAAACAAAAAAACCTTCTCCACACTGACATTCGGATGTGACGGACTGGGCATTTGCATCCGCCCGGTCTGCACTGTACACACGCACCTAAGGTGACTTGCAGGAGTGAGTGCTCTGCTGAAGCCTGCCTCCTCCCACCTGAGCCACTGGGCCCTCGTGGCAGCAGGAATAGGTTTTGGGATTCCCTCAGTCACCTCTCTGCTCTGGGCTTCCGTAGACAAAGAGAAACAAAGCACGTGTGGAGAGCAGCTCGAGGGGCAGGGCCAGGCAGGTTTCTAGGAGGTTGACATGCCCGTGGTGAAGGTCCTGCCCAGGGTCACAGTGCTGTGGCGGCTTGGGTGGCAGATGGGCGAACGTCATGGTGACTCTGATCACTTTCTGGCTTGGGATTAATGGTTTGGTGTAGGGTGGGCAGAGGTGGAGGGGCAGTGACAGAAAACCTGCATTAACTCTTAAAACAAAGTACACGTTGGCTGCTGCAGCATGTCTGCTGTCGGGCTTGTTGGGGGACAAGTGGTGTCAGGTGGAGGGCAGGTAGATGGCGTGTTCGTGTGAATTGTACAGGGGAGTGACAGGGAATCAGGATGTACTTTTTGGCTCTGTTTGGCGTAAACCCCGTCTCTTTTACCAAGATCAGGACTCTGTTTGGAATGGCTCTCCTCCAGATGCATGACTCGGTCCTCAGACAGCTTGAGGCCTGTGCAGATTCCCTTCCCGTGACTCATCGCGTGGGAGGTCAGGGGTCACTACAGGCCTGCAGCTGCCCTGAGAGAGTCCACGTCTCCCGGGCCACAAGGGTGAAGCATGCAGATGCTTTTTACCTGTCCTTTCGTGGGTTTACCGGAGGGTCCCTTGCACAGCTGAGCCTCTTGAACTTTGGTGTGGCGGCCTCATTGCTCTCCTTTGACTCATTCGGGAAGCCTTTATGGGGTCGCTCTGAGGTGTGGGGTCTGGGATGGTCACCACAGGCCTGCACTCACAGGGCTGGCTGTCTGGAGAGCCTGTGTCCAGTGGCGTTGGATCCACGTCACAGTGTCTGCGAGGTGCCTGGTCTCTCTGGGTCCTGCCGACTGCTGTGTTTGCTGACATCTTTTTTTCCTGTGCTCCAGCATTCCATCCGGGCACTGGCACTGAGAGTTTTACGGGAAATTCTGAGGAACCAGCCTGCAAGATTTAAAAATTATGCTGAGCTGACGATCATGAAGACCTTGGAAGCCCACAAAGACTCCCACAAAGAGGTGAGCCAGGCCTGGGGCCCCGGCGCGCTGGGCAGATGGTCTGTGGGCAGCAGGGAAAGGGAGTCCCTTTTTCCTGCAAGTCCGCGGGGCATGACAGGGTGAAGCCCCCATTGCTGTCGCGGCTGTCCTACATCAGGTTCTCACTGTGCTTCCCTCTGGCGGCTGAGTCGGCCAGGAGGTAGAGGCGGGCAAGTCCTAGAACAGCGCTTTCCTGCTCCAGAACCTCGCCAAGTTATGGCAGCTTCTGAGCCTCAGTTCCCTTGTGTGTCAGATAGGTGGGCGTTAGCACATGGCTTCACATGTGGATCTGGTGCGGCCCACAGCTTGACAACGTAGATGCTATACCAGCTGGTGATCTCCCCCACTGGCTCCAGACGTGCCATGGCCCCCGGCCCCTGGGTGCCTGTCAGGGCAGCACGGATGCCATTCTGTGCCCCAGCACACGTGTAGCTGTGGGGCAGCCCAGGGACCCTCGCCCACTTGCCTGCCAGTCCTGTGAGCATCTGGAGCTCCAGAGACTTGGGGAAGAGGGGCGACCCTCGTTAAGATGAGCTCAGTGGCGCCCTTCCGGTGGACGGCACCGTGGGACGTGGCCCCAGGTGAGATGGAGCCACTGGCTCAGTTCAGGCTCGTGGCTCCCATGTGACCCTAGGAGCTCACTGCGATGAAAGGAGCTGTGATGAGAGCCGTGTCCACAGGAGCATCAGGCTCTTAAGTCCTGTTGGTCTCTCCATCAGTTGTGGAGCTGCTGCCTGGACAGGCTGGCCGCCTCCCACACCCACCCTGACTGACCATAGGCTCAGCAGGGGAGGCTGTCTTGCTTTGCGGAGGCACCTCCATCCGGCAGTCCTGGCATCGCACAGGGACACGAGTGACAGGTGTGCTTTCAACAGTAACTTGCTCTTCCGAAATCCGCCTGAGTTGTGCGTTGGTGACAACAGTCACTCATGTCTGAACAAGACACTTACCACTTAGAGTCAGCGTAGTCATTCCCGGGCGAGGGAAGAGGGTCAGGAGGCGCCATTGTTTGTCAGGTGAGGCACCAGGTGGGAACCAGGTTGCATGTCTCTTTTGAGAGGCTGCTGGCCTGTGCTGACTTTTTTTTGGTTGTTTTTTAACCATGGTAGCTGCTTCTTAATGAGAATACATGATTGAAAAAAAAAACGCAGTAAAGTTGACATTCTTTCACAGATACTTGATGGCAGTGGTTTTCACAGGGGAGGGCCCAGAATCTGGCTTTAAGGTGGCACTAAGCCGTCCAGGGTGTGGCAGCTGTGAGCATCCCCTTGGAAGATGTGTCCTTAAGTGGGTGTCCTGTTCTTGAACTTAAGAACTTTGACAGTGGACCGTAAGAAGTATAAGTTAACCACAGTTAAATAGTTCATTTGCTATTTAATCTGTTTTCTTGAGGCATTTTGCTTTTTTCCCTGCAAAATGAGAAACTTAGGAGAGAATGTTGTTTGGTGTGAAGCCCTTTGCATTGCATAAGGGACAAAAGCAGAAAGTACCTGCTGCTACTTAAAGCGTGTTTAGCCACACTCAGTTGCCATGGAATTCTTGTAACCCAAGGGTCTGCACGCTGCTGTCACTGATGACCTGATAAAGCAGGTGGAGAAAACACGTGTTCTGACAGGAGAGCGTTTCTGGCAGGCCCCCTGCTTTGCATACTTTCAGGCTCACCTTGACTGGTGCCCTTGTGGTTTTCCTTATGAAACCCTATCTGTCGCTTTGCCAGAAGCTCCTGAGTTGGGCGCCTGTATGTTTAGGTTTTTGTTTCTCTTTTCCTTTAAAATTCTTCTTCATTGGCTTTCTCTTATTTTACCGATCTGTCTCCATTCTTTGATTTTGTTTTTAAGGCTGAAAAGCTTGATGCACACAAAGTTGTGTGCTGGCCATTGTTGGTAGGCTAGCATCACACACAGTCTTTCTCTAGTCCTGTGTTTTCTCGTCAGGTACATCCGACGTTCATCCAGACATCACTCGCGTCTGTTGGGGAGGATCCAAAGTGGTCACTGGTCAGACAGAGGCAGACTATGGGAGAAGCAGTCAGACAGAAAAACAAAGCGTGTTCCTCCCAGGCAGTCACTCCTGGAACAGCCTTCTCATCAGACACGAGTGGTTTTGTGTTCAGAGGCAAGACCAGGCTTCAGCGGGACGTGAAGATGGCCGACAGGCAGACAGAGCTGCGGGGAGAGGCCTCCCCTGCCCACTGCAGTGGCCACACCATCCTGCTCGCTGCGGTTCCGACTGTGGGCCTTCTTGAAATGCCTTTTCTGTGAAGTTTGTCACAAAAGCCCTTAGGGAAGGCAGGACGGCTTATCTTGTCACCTGTAGGCCAGGCAGTTTCTCAGGGTCTTTAATTTAAGAGGAGCCATGCCTGCAGAACACTTCGCTTACACTCTGGGAACAGCCCAGACCCCAGGCCTGCCTCAGGCATCATCCATCCTACGCTAACACGGCGATTTGCAGTAAGCAGGGTACCAATTTAGAGTTTTATTTTGAAAGTTGGTGTTAGACTAGACATGTTTTAGTATTCTGTCTTTGAATAAGTAAATTTCTTTCATTATTCGACTGTCTGTCTTTATCCTTCTCGTAAATAAAGTTACTGTTGAGTGTCAGCAGCTCAGTCATGAGGTTGCTGCGGGTTACAGCAGTGTGGCCATTAGCAAGCGTCTTAAAGGGCTAAGGCCTTGGTAGTGGCCCTCTAAAGTCTTAGTGCCATTTTCTGTTCTTCAGAGAAATTCCGTTAATTTTAACTATTCTAATTTTAGAACTAGCAGTCTGTTAGGGCTGGTACAGTCTCTCCTTCATTGATAGGATTTAATAGGAGAGTTGATGCTACAAATGAGATTCTGTGCTCAGTGCAGGGGTGACTCCGGAGACAGAAAAGCTGGTTTTCTGTCCAGCACCTGCCCCTCTGCAGCAGAACTGTCAGCATGGTTGCCTCCCTGTGGCCCGCGTAAGCGTGGCCTGGTGTGAGAGTCACACACAGTGACGTAGAACATGCTTGTAAAACACAGAGCCATTTCAGAGGCACTCGTTTCTTGGGAACAATTAATATACTAATTGTTAATCATTTTATACACATTTAATGTAAGAAAGGCTGTTGCTTCCAGTCACTGTACCCAAATGTTGAAGTACTTGGTAAATGTTCTATTTAAACTTAAGAGAAGCACCAGCTCTTTTTCTCTGAACATCTTTTGTAGTTGAGACTTTTTGATCATTAGGCTCAGCTTTTGCTGAACTTGGCCACATTAGTGAATATTCTATTACATTTGCCTCTTGAAGAAAAAGACGCAGCAGTGTTTGTGCTGCTGTCCAGGGTCACCGGGCACTTCCTGCTCCCAGGAGTCTTGGTGTTTCGGGCACCAGGACCTGGCTGCGGTGGTTGGGCTTCTTTGCGGAGGTTTGGCTCTTAGGTAAAAATGAAACAGCCGTCCTTATGTCTCCAGGGGTTTTGTTTTGAAATCTGTTCTAGTTAATTTTATTTTTTTACAACTTCAGGGAATTAAAAGAGCAAAGCCAGGCTAAATTTATTTTAAAAAGAGAACTCTTCGGGGACTGGTTTTCTGGCTTCTGCCCCACCTGCCGTGCTGCGTGTCTTCTGCGGGCCTGGCAGCCCCGGGACAGTGGTCTTGTCGGAGAAAGCACTTCTGTGAGCGGGCCTTCTGCCCCCTACACCGGTTAGAATCATTGTCGACACGTCTCAGCCGGACCCCCACATCAGAAGAGCCCCCAGAATCCTCTCGGGGCAGCGGGCATGTCGGTTGGTTCTGGAGAACAAGGCCTATGTGAACCTGGAAAAATCACTCCACTCCTCTGGACCTTGGTTCTCCTGTCTGTTAGCCCAGGGAGTGGACTCGACACTTATCTGTGTGTTTCCAGCCCCAGGATAATGCGAGTGGTTATTGAATAACAAACCGAAACCTTCATAGATTCTAAGGCTCCAGTTTTCCATGGGCCCGATCTGGGGATTGGCCAGAGGCCCTATTTGTAAGTTTTGCTTTTTTTAACAAAAAGACAAAACCAGAAACCTGTGCAGTCATTTAAAAGTTCAGAGGTGCTGGGCCTCAGTCTGACTCCGATGGCACAAACTCTGTTGAGTGTTTTTCTAACTAGAAGTGGCGGGGGGGAGGTACAGCTTTAGACTTCAAGGAAACTGTGGTTCAGTCAAGGTCAAAGCAACAGGATCAACGTGTGGCCAAGAGAGCAGGGCACTGGGCATTCGGAGGGGCTGGAGCAGTCGAGGTGGCCAGAGGTGGGCAGCAGCCGAGGCAGCCGGCCAGCTGGGTGGCACGGACTCAGAGGACGCCTGGGTTGGCTCTGCTGAACCGACTGCCCCAGTCGGAGGTCCCTCTCACACCTCAGGATTGTTCAGGGGGTGGTCCCCCTCCCTGGGCAGCCACCTCCTAGCACCAGATGTGACTCCGGTGGCATCAGAGAGGGCCTCTTATAGAAAGAGGGGCCGCTCACGTGCAGGAAGCAGTCACAGGGCCACTGCATCACGTCAGAACTTTTGAGTTTGCAGTTTGCTGAAGTAACACTACTGGGAACCACAGCAGCTTCATTAAGAGCATCCTGCTCCTGCCCATTCACTGGCGGTGTGGTCGTGAGCCAGATGCCCGGGGGTCTGAGGTCCTCATACAGGAGGGAAGCTGGGGGAGGGCCTGCCTGCGGGACTGACGCTGTTGGAAACTGAAGGTACTGTCTTTTTATCTCTCTTCCACTAAGAAAGTAGATCAATTCTAATGGAATTGTAGTCAAGGTTTTTGAATTTTACATAAGGTGGATGTAACTACATTTCTCTAAATGTATCTTTAAAAGGCTTTGGACCACATGCTTAGCATGCATGAGGCCCTGGTTTCAATCCTCAGTACCTCCAGTAATATAAATAGATAAATAAACCTAATTACCTATCCCCCTCCCCCAAAGAAAATAAAAAAAATTTTTATAGTCTATTTAAACTTGGATAAATTAACTTTAAAACTCCAGTAAGGCTGCAGCTGTGTCTTTGGGCTGCTGCGTTGGCTGGATCATGTGTGTCTACACTGGGGGCCGTCACTGTCACCCGAGGCTGGATACCTCAGGGTTTGCAGAGGTGGATTTTGGAGACGCAGAGGAGGGGCCAACTGTGTGCCATCCACCTGCCCAGCTGAGGCTTATGTTGTCTCCCACGTGAGTCCTGAAGGGCTGGCCTGGTGTCTGCAGCGTCCTCTGGGATGGGGGACCCCTCGACATTCTTCCCTGTTGGCCCTAATTCTACCTCTTGGGGTAGGACAGAGTGAATCTCCCACCCAAGACCATCCCACGTTTGGGGCGGTAGTGCGGCCGCGGGTCTGCCCGTCCAGGCAGGGTGCAGTGGCTGGGCTGTTAGCACTCATGTCCTTCAGCTCTGCCTTGTGAACCTGTATGTGTGCGTTTTTCAGACAAAGCACTCATCGAGTACAGGTAGAAGATGAGGTTTGTGATCCAAAATAAAACTTCTTAATTCGGGTCCCCCTCATTTTACTGACAAGGGAAACTGAGGCCTGGACACAGAGGGAATTTCCCCCAAGTCCTGCTCACTCGGTGGTGACAGAGCCAGGTCTGAAACTTGAGTCCACAGACTCTGAACCTGAAGCTTCTCTACACCCCACCCCACCCCAGTACCGGGGCCTGGGCTCAGGTCTGCCTCATGCCCACCCACCTTCCACCTTGGGGTTTAGAGCAGGGCCACTCCTCCACCGGAGACGCAGTCCCCGTGCGAGTCCCGTATCCACCCTGTGTGTCTTCCTGTAGGTGGAGTGGCCTTTCCCGTGGCTCCTGAGTGGCTGGGGGGCTACAGCAGGCAAGTGAACCCCTGGGCCCAGGGTTCCTGACCTTGTGCTCGTCTGCTGTGTCTGTGACAGAGCCAAGTCAGGGTCTGTGAACTTAAAGCGTGGAGTCCCGGTCGTGACAGGTTCTCTGCTCTCAGGGAAACTCTATCTTTAAGCAAACATTCATCAATGTCCTGAGTAATGTTCTCATTTTTCAGAGCGTTAGATAAGGAAATTGTGCTTTTCCGAGCTGACATGTTATTTCGCAGACTTTGAAAGGGAAGAATTCCTGTGTTTCTTAACCGGACTGTAGCAAAATTAACAGAAGGGGAAGGGTTTTGGTCACTTCATGGTGAGTGAGTGTGACCCGGAGCCCACGCTCCCTCCTGAACGTGTCTGGCGTGTGGCCAGCACGCCTCCCAGGCAGTGTCCTCCCCGTCTCCTCGCTGCGTTTACTTAGCCCTGCGTTTGCTTACGTTTGTAATCTTTGCTTCTTATGTTACAAGGAACACGGGGAAAACCTGCAGTTCCCTCTGAGTTGGGCAGCTGGTCAGAAGCTGGGAGCTCGGCCCACAGGGGTTGAGTCGAGGCCTCCCTGATGGCTCGCCAGACACGGTGCCTGTCTCGGGGGCATGCTTAGACCGTAGGAGGAGAGGGGCCTCAGACATGCCACCTCGAAGTGCAGTGTTTGCAGAAAGACTCCTTACGTTAAATACGTCTGATTGAATGTTTGTGCAGGCGACACCCAGGATCCCTGGAGTTTTGTAAGGGGACCTTTTCAGCTTAGATCTGACCTGTTTGTCGGCAGCTCACCGTGATCTGGCTAATAACAGAGCCTAGAGAGATGGAGGAGGGAGGGAACCTTGCAAGAGGGTCTCACTATGTGCCTGGCCACTCGTCTGGGTGGGTAGTGGCCTCTGCATCCCTTGTGCAGCTGGGAGGTTCCTGGTTTGCTCCTGTCGA